GTAACAAACAAGGTGAAATTTCTGCTAACGTTGCTTGTGATGAGTTCCGATGATGCTCTTGTCGTTATTGCTGGATGTGCTGAGACCAATGATGAGTGGGTACTTGACACTGCATGTACTTTCCATATGTTCCCGCATAGAGATTGGTTTACTACTTTTGATTCCAGTACTTCTGTTGGTTCCGTTTTGGATTTTGATAATTCACCATGCAAGATTGAAGGCATAGGTTCCGTTTGAATCAAGATGTTTGATGGCATAATCAGAACTTTGACAGATGTTCGGTATATTCCGAAGATGAAGAGAAATCTTATCTCTCTTAGTGCCCTTGATGCAAAGGGGTACAAGTATTCAGGTGGAGATAGTGTTTTGAAAGTCACCAGAGGCTCCCTTGTTGTGATGAAAGGTGACTTAAGTTCGATCAATGGTCTTTATTACCTTCGAGGTTCTACCGTTTCAGGTAATGCTACTCCAGTTATTTCAAAGAATTCTGATTATGATGCTGCTAACCTTTGGCATATGCGTCTTGCACATATGAGTGAACTCGGTTTGGCAGAGTTAAATAAGAGAGGTCTCCTTGATGGATATGAACCTGGTAAATTGAAATTTTGTGAGCATTGTATCTTCGACAAGCACAAGAGGGTGAAGTTCAACACTTCGACTCATACAACTGAAGGTATTCTTGATTATGTCCATTCTGATTTATGGGAACCATCTCGCAAGAAGTCATTAGGTGGTGCAAGTTACATGCTGACTATTATTGATGATTATTCGAGAAAAGTTTGGCCTTATTTCTTAAAGCATAAATATGAAGCATTCTCAGCATTTAAGGAGTGGAAGATTATGATTGAGAGGCAAACTGAAAGGAAGGTAAAAATACTTCGCACTGATAATGGTATGGAATTCTGTTCTAAGCAATTTAAGAATTATTGCAAGTCTGAAGGCATTGTCAGACATTACACCGTTCCTTATACTCCTCAACAAAACGGTGTTGCTGAGCGTATGAACAGGACCATTATTTCCAGAGCCCGTTGCATGTTGTCCAATGCATGTTTGCATAGGCATTTTTGGGCTGAGGCCGCTTCCACTGCTTGTTATCTCATTAATCGTTCACCATCTATTGCTCTTAATAAGAAAACTCCAATTAAGGTATGGTCTGGTTCACCTGCTGATTATTGACAGTTGAGATTTTTTGGTTACACTGCTTATGCTCATGTTGATAATGGAAAGTTGGAGCCTAGGGCTGTTAAGTGCATCTTTCTTGGTTATAAGTCTGGTGTTAAAGGTTATAAATTGTGGAATCCTGAAACCTAGAAGGTTGTTATTAGTAAAAAAATGTTATCTTTAATGAATCTGCTATGTTACATGATGTTCCATCTACTAATGTTCCTGTTGAGAGTGAACAGCAGCCTACTATTCAGCAGCCTACTGTTCAGGTGGAGCATGTTATTAAAACAGGTGATACATCTGGTAATGAAATTGTTGATGCACATGATGAACCCGTCGTTGATGATGAACATGTCACTCCCACTCCAAATCAGCCTATTGTTCCACCCAGTTGGAATCTTGCACATGACATAGTTAGGCGGGGTATTAATAAACCTGACAGGTTAATTGAAGAGTGCAATATTGTTTCTTTTTCTTTATCTGTTGCAGAAGAAATTGAAGGTAATGTTGAGCCTTCTTCATATTCCGAGGCTATTAGTGATTGTAATAAGTGGATGACCACTATGCATGATGAGATGGAATCACTTGAAAAGAATGGCACTTGGGATTTAGTAAAATTGACTAGAGAGAAGAAACATATTCGTTGCAAGTGGGGTTTCAAGAGGAAAGAAGGTGTTTCTCCTAATGATGAGACAAGATATAAAGCAAGGTTAGCTGCTAAAGGTTACAGTCAGATTCCAGGTATTGACTATAATGAAGTCTTTTCTCCTGTTGTGAAGCATAGCTCTATTCGCACTTTACTCAGTATTGTTGCCATGCATGATTTTGAGCTGGAACAATTGGATGTTAAAACTGCATTCTTACATGAAGAATTAAAAGAGGATATTTATATGGGACAACCTGAAGGTTTTGGTATTCCTGGAAAAGAAAAGCTTGTCTGCAAGTTAAAAAAATCTCTTTATGGATTGAAGCAATCCCTTATACAATGGTACAAGAGATTTGACACATTTATGCTCTCTCGAGGTTTCAAAAGGTCTAATTATGATAGTTGTGTTTATTTGAAAACTATCAATGGTTCAACTATTTATTTGCTCCTTTATGTTGATGATATATACTTATTGCTGCAAAGAGTATGTCAGATATTAATGAACTAAAGAAGCAATTGAGTAACGAATTTGAGATGAAGGATTTGATTGCAGCAAAGAAAATACTTGGCATGGAAATATCCAGAGATAAACCGTCTGGAAAATTATATCTAAGTCAGAAGGGATATATTGATAAAGTTCTTCGCCGTTTTAATATGCATAATGCCAAGCCGGTGAGTACACCGTTAGCTGCACACTTCAAATTGTCATCAGCTTTATGTCCTAAGTCAGATTCCGATATTGAGTACATGTCTAAAGTTTCCTATTCAAGTGCAGTTGGTTCACTTATGTATGACGTGGTTTGTTCTTTTCTGGATTTATGTTATGCATTGAGTGTTGTCAGTAGATACATGGCTAATCCTGGAAAAGAGCATTGGAAAGCAGTTCAGTGAATTTTTAGATACCTATGTGGTACTTCTAATACTTATTTACAGTTTGGAAAAACTGGAGATGGACTTGTTGGTTTTGTTGATTCTGATTTTGCTGGTGATTTGGATAAGAAAAGATCACCCACAGGTTATGTTTTCACCATTGGTGGTTGTGCTATGAGTTGGAGAGCAACTTTGCAGTCTATTGTGGCTTGTTCCACTACTGATGTCGAGTATATGGTTATTTCTGAGGCATGCAAAAAAGCTATATGGTTGAAAGTTTTATATACTGATCTTTGTGGAGATTCATCTTGCCCTACCGTGTTTAGTGGCAGTCAAAGTGCTATATATCTTATAAAGAATCCAATGTATCATGAGAGAACAAAGCACATTGATGTCAGATATCACTATATTCGAGTTGTTGTTACCGAAGGTGATTTGAAGGTATGCAAGATAAGCACTCATGATAATCCAGCTGATATGATGACAAAGCCAGTTCCTACCAATAAGTTTGAGCTTTGCTCAGGCTTAGTTGGTATTTCTCACTAGTCCTATGAACTTTGACGCACAAGGTGTTTATGCTGATTTGGATGGAGTTATTTACTTTCTTCGACTACTGGAGGGAATTTGGCTCAAGGTGGAGATTGTTAAATTGTGATACAAATTCTATCGTATTGGACTAGACGTAGTACATACGGTGTGGGCCTTTGCGTTGGTACCGACGTGTACGAGTACAACTCGTTTACTTGTCTTACAAGGACTCATGTGTGTTGCCCCTCATATATACCCCATATAGTCGCACCTAAGACGGTTTGTCATCTCGTGCTTGTAATACTCCTCCTCATAATGACTGCGCCTTCGTGCGTCCGTGATTTTCTCCCGCAAGGGTTTCCACGTAAAAATCCGTGTCTCTCATGTCTCGTTTATTCTTGTTATTATCTAACAAACTGTATATCCTGGTCATGTGCAGCCCACTCGAACGTTCACTCACGGCTTCATCAACTCTCCGTTACCGAGCAGTAAATGACACCTCCAACAACGAACTGTCCCATTGGTCCACTTAGCAGGAGCATGCGAGCTCGTCCACCATATCGCCTCTCTCGTATAAAACCAAGTTATTTTGTTTTGGTGTTATGTATGATCAACTTATTTGCTGTCTTATGCTTGTTTTTTTAAAACAGTGTACTACTTGTGTTGATAATGCAGTGCAATTGTGATCATGCGGTGTCGGGAAGCGTGCGTATACTTGAGCGATGTACTAGTATTCTTGTACTATGTACATATTCCTGAGCGATGTAGTAGCAGTAGCACGTGGATGTCGGCACGGAGGGGTACGTGGTCAGCCAGTGAGATAAGTAGGAGGCAAATTAATTAGCGTCTCAATAATGCAGAGCAGGCGCTATGGGTGGGTGGCAGGCATAGATAGCAGCCTGGAATTAGTTAGGATGGGTACCTTACCTGCAACGCTGTGTGTCCCGGTAAAATTCCGAAGCAGAAGCGCGTGAAAACGAAGACGGAGACGAGAAGACGCTGTTTTCTTGGACCGTCACTGTCATTAAACGCGGCCATCAACAGCAACAACAAGAGAAAAGAAACCAAAGGAAAATAGAGTAGTACGTAGCAGTTTAAGCGTGGCAAGTCCGGCACGCGGCCGCGACTTACGCGGATCCTTCGTCTCGTCTCGTCTCCGCTCGTGCCAGCGACGACCGGTCAGCCACAGCCGGTCTTCCGCCTCCTCTTGTGCATCTAATGACTTGGACTCGTGCTCCCCTCGGCAACCGCAACCCACGCCGCTTGCGACCTTCTCTCCTCTCTCTGCTACGACTACTACTGGAGTAGTAGTATATAGCTGCGCAACTCCTAACCTTAACTTGGTACGTACGTCTCGCCTCGCCTGCTCCTCCTCTCTGCTCCACTTCCATTTCCATCTGCCCCGCCCATCCATCCTTGGTACGTACGTCTACTTCTAGTCGATTGCTGCTCTTCTTCTCCCTCAACTTGCCCATGTTTCTTCATGGAGCTTCAAATGTCATGGTCTAAGCCTGTTGTTATATTTTTCGTTGAGTCTTTCGGTAAAATGAGTCACGATGTTTAGCTCTGCTTACGATAAGGCTGTGCTTTCATAACCCAACACCTACCAAACCAATTAGTACTCCAGACTAGTTTCTCATGACATAATGAGCTTATCTTCTTCTTCTTCTTCTTGTGTGATTTGCCCTTGCAGAAACATCAGGTTGACCCTCTGGCTGGCTGGGCCACAGCGGTTGCAGAGACAAGAGAACAAGTCTCCTCCACAAAAGGGGTTCCGTGCCACAGCGCTGACATGTCCTCGCTGAGGCCGCTCAACACGGAACCAAGTTTTCTCCACTCCCCCATGGATGCCTGCGCCGCGCCGCTGAGGTCGCCGTCGCCGAGGGTCGTCGCCGGCCCGCCCAAGAAGAGGATGCCGCGCCCCCTCCAGAGGTCGCTCAGCTTCAAGAACTGGGAGGCGGAGGCTGCCGCCGATGAGCCAGAGCCGGCGACCCGGTGCATCAACGGCGCGCGCCCCGGGACCCTCCTGCTCCAGAGCCCCGGAAGCAAGCAGCAGTCCCCGTCCAAGCCGCACTTCGTCTCTCCGAGGCCTCAGGCCGAGCTGGACGACGCGGCCACCAAGGTCCAGAAGCTCTTCAAGGGCCACCGGACCCGGAGGAACCTCGCCGACTGCGCCATTGTCGTGGAGGAGCTCTGGTAAGTAAACTAAACACGCGCATCTGCATCTGCATCTGCATGCATGCTGATTACGTACATCGTGCCTGACGAAAACAATTTCAACGTTCATTCAGGTGGAAGGCCTACGATTCCGCATCACTCAACATCAAGTCCATCTCCTTCTTCGACGAGGCCAAGCAGGAGACGGCTGCTTCCCGGTGGTCAAGGGCTGGGAAGAGGATTGCCAAGGTCGGCAAGGGGCTGTCCAAAGACGAGAAGGCCCAGAAACTGGCACTGCAGCATTGGCTCGAAGCTGTAAGCTTCTCCCTCCATGCCTTCTCCTTTGGTTTCCAAAAAATCATACACTAAGTTTTTATACTTAAGTCAAAATCTTTGTGCTTCTTCAGATTGACCCGCGCCATCGCTACGGCCACAATTTGCACCTCTACTACGACATCTGGTCCGCGAGTTCCAGCACAGAGCCCTTCTTCTACTGGTAATTACCTTACTTGGTCGGTGGTGCTCATCTTTTTTTTTTGGAAAAGCATCAGAATGATGCATACGGCTCATCTGAAACATGTTCCTGGGGTGCAGGACTTGCTGATCCTGACAGTGCGTTCCTTGCTCGTTTTGTATTTTCAGGCTGGATATCGGAGCCGGGAAAGACGTTCATCACCAAAAGTGTCCGAGAAGCAAGCTGTATTCCCAACTGATTATGTACCTCGGACCAGTAAGTGACATCCTCTTTTCTGTCTCAAGATACGATACACAGACCTCAAAGTTGAATCTTGCTTGTTCAAATTTCCAAGAGATGAATTCATCTGATTTGAATGTTACTTGAATCGCAGAACGAGAGGGCAGGGTACGAGGTTATTGTGGAGCAAGGGAAGCTCATGTACAGGAGAAGCGGCCTTCTCGTAGAAACCACCGAGGATTCGAAATGGATATTTGTGCTGAGCACAACTAGATCACTATACATCGGGCAGGTACTTGGAAATGTTCCGTCCTTTTCTTCTCTCTCTCTCTCTAGTTAAGCAGTCGTGCATGATAAGTACATTCTGTATCAGTCCTGACTGTAACTTAATCTCTTGTGAGCAGAAGAAGAAGGGTAAATTTCAGCACTCAAGTTTCCTGGCCGGCGCGGCGACAACCGCTGCCGGTAGGTTGGTTGCCAAAGATGGCATTCTTAAGGCAATATGGCCTTACAGCGGCCACTACCTCCCTACAGAGGAGAACTTCAGGGAGTTCATCAGTTTCTTGGAGGAGAACAATGTCGATCTAGCTAACGTCAAGGTAAATTTACCACTCATACTAGTATATTTATAGAGATCGTCTTAATAACCACCAGGGATATCATATCTGATAAGCATTTGCGATTCATTTACAGAGGTGTTCCGTGGACGACGACGAGTACCCATCGTTCAAAAAGAGCTCAGACGAGCCTACTGAAATGGAAGGAGATGACGAGAAACCCACCGAGGAGGCGCAACATGATGAGACCCTCAACAGCTCGCAAATTGAACTGCCTGAGATGGACATCATCAAGGAAGTGGTTGCCGAGGACAATGCGGAAACCGAGACCAAGATGGCCAGTCTCCCATCCTTCAAATGGGCAACCGCTGCTGGCGCGCGGATCGGCTGTGTCCGTGACTACCCGGCTGATCTCCAGAGCATGGCTCTTGAGCATGTCAATCTGTCACCAAGAGTGGTGCCGTCTCCGAGTGCGAATCGGCTGCCCATCCCGTCACCTCGGCCGAGCCCCAAGATCAGGCTGTCTCCCCGGCTGCACTACATGGGCCTTCCCACCCCCACCGGCCGCCGTCTCCCGATCCCAAGCCCGGAAATCAGGAGGCAGCAGTTCATGGGTTTTCACACACCGCAAGTGTCTCTCACTCTCCCCAAGCACAAGGCCAAGTGATTTTTCATCTCGCGGCACCTACTACCAGGCTGCTGCTATTGAAGCTAGTATAGACGCAGTTTTAGATACTAGTTATTATAGCTAGCCTAGATCAGAGATACTACTCACAATTTTGTTTCTTATGGTTGCTTCTTTGGTTCTGTGTCACCATTCTTTAGTACTATGTTCATTCATCTTCTTATTTGACCTGAGGTGCGTCGGCTCTAGTGTAACCACAACTCTGCAAATAAGCCATGTAACTTTCCAGCTTTGTTTTGATAATAAAAGGGTTGTTTTGTTCATCATGTTTTATTGTTTTTATTGCACGCATTTGCAGCAGGAATGTAGGACACTCTCTAATGTTATTCGATTGGAAGAACAACAACAGCAACAAAAAACAGATTTGCTAAAATTAGCTATTGCACATCTAACTGTACCACCGTTGGATGAAAGCCCTCTAAGATTTGTACTTTCTTTTCCAATGCGAGATTGTGTTGTTGTTTTTGCGCGGCCTATGGGCTGGTTTGTTGCCTGCAATGCATACTAGGATAATTGCAGAGGCATGTATACGACTGCAGCTGAGGCGCCATGTCGGCTAGTTAAGTGTCTGCCACTTGACATGTAATTATATGACACATTTACCACACAACTGCAAGGGATACAATGCCATGGCAACTCGGGTGGCGTTGCATTTCATTTTTGTTTTTGTTTGTCATTTTTTCTTCCGCCCAATGAGAAACAATAATTCAAGACCCACCCCTCCCCCTAGGTAATGTTGTTTTTCTGCTTTTCATTAAAAAAAACACCACGGACCAGTTGCATGTTGGCTTGCAACTGCATTTGCTATAACATGTGCATATGGTGTACCTACCATGCAATTGCAGGGGCTACGACGCAACTGCAACTAGGATGGGATGTCGGTCAATTGCATCTCCGACACCCGATATGTAACTGCACATGACATACATACGACACAAGTGCAAGGGGTAAAACAAGATTGCAATCAGTGGTGGTGCCAGGATCGGGTCATGCCGCGGGCAAGTCCCAGGCCAAACAATGACCACAATACCAAAATAGTGTAAATATGGCTACAATGAATAAAGGAACCCAACCTCACGACCCAGGCCATCTCTCGGACAGCATGGGGCCTAGCTCCACCCGTTGAATGCAACTGATGTGGTGTTGCATTTTATTTTCATTTTTGTTTGTCA